GTGTTTTGTTGTTGTGTGTATGTGTGTGTGTGAATTGTGTGTGTTATGTGTGTGTGTATGTGTGTGTATGTGTGTTTTGTGTTTGTGTGTGTGTGTGTGTGGTTGTGTATGGTGTGTGTATGTGGGTGTGTGTATGTGTATGTGTGTGTTTTGGTGTTTTGTGTGCGTGTGTGTGGTGTGTGTTGTGTGTGTGTTTGTGGTGTGTGTGTGTGGTGTGTGTGTGTGTGTGTGTGTGGTGTGTGTGTGTGTGTGGTTCCCCACTTCTAAGTATTATACGCTAATAAATACCGGTAGAACCGTAATTCTAAGCTTACCAATCTTGTAACACTTATCGACTACTTCTAAAATTCAGAAAGTAGCTAGGTTGTAAAATTTGCTTTCTCAGCTTAAATCTTACGTTACCCTCCTACCGCTTTACCCTTGCACTCTCCTCTATGCTATTTTACTCTAATTCTGGTAAGGCTTGCAGGAGTGAGTGACCAGTATCTACCCGTGATGCAGGGGCCAGACTCAATCTTGCAAAAATGCAAATCAACAGGTGGGAAAACTTGCACTGACAGCGGGTGTGTGACAAGTTGCCAGAACGATGACGCATGGTCGACATAGGCCTTCTCTCACATTTGTAATCCTTCACCCGTGATGTTTATAAATATATCTCTGCACCCGCGTTCCCAAGTGATTTCAATTTTCACTTATTACAGAAACATTCACACGGTGTTACCTTTATATGTTTAAAGGCATACAAAAAGTGTGGGGTCATGCTTCAGTAGGCCTACTGCCACCCTTTCCCCTTTTTGAAATTTTTTTTTTTTCTTTCTCCCTTTTTCCTATTAAATTTTTCCCCACATTACGGTGCCCCACAAATTTTATTGTTAACCAAAACGTGGAATTCTTTATCACCCGTTTCCACACTCACTTTGATCTTTTTTTTGTTTGTATCTGGTGGCAAAAGTGCCTAGTAGATCAAAAAACGGTTGGCACTTTAAAAGAAAAAAAAACTGAATTTTGGGGTTTTCCCCCCGAATTTTTTCAACTAATAACTATATTATCCTCGTAGGTTTGTTCACTGACTTTTCATACCATGATTACTGCTAGGGGTTGTTGCCCCCCAAAACCGAAGGTTTTCGGAGCCTTGTTACCCCCGTCTTCACCCCCATGGTGTGTGACAAGTTTGTGTCTGTGTGTTTGTGTCTGTGTGTCTGTCTGTCTGTCTCTGTCTCTCTGTCTCTGTCTTTCTGTCTGTCTGTCTGTCTGTTTGTCTGTTTGTCTCTCTCTCTCTCTCTCTCTCTCTCTCTCTCTCTCTCTCTCTCTCTCTTTCTTTTCTCTCTCTCTCTTCTCTCTCTCTCTCTCTCTCTCTCTCTCTCTCTCTATCTCTCGCCTAATTGTTGACATCATGACGTAATGAAGCGACTCGCTCCATCATATGATACTGGCTCGACTATATTCACTTACACGCCTATTATTCCTTTTATCTCTCTTTTCCTCACAACACCTGCTTCCCCCCCCCTCTTTTATCACCTGCTGTACTTCTCCGTGAGGTGTGGCTAGTGAGGTGTGGCTAGTGAGGTGTAGCTAGTGAGGTGTGGCTAGTGAGGTGTGGCTAGTGAGGTGTTTCTAGTGATGTGTGGCTAGTGATGTGTGACTAGCGAGGTGTGGCTAGTGAGGTGTGGCTAGTGAGGTGTGGCTAGTGAGGTGTGGCTAGTGAGGTGTGGCTAGAGAAGTGTGGCTAGTGAGGTGTGGCTAGTGAGGTGAGGCTAATGAGGTGTGGCTAGTGAGGTGTGGCTAGTGACGTGTGGCTAGTGAGGTGTGGCTGGTGAGGTGTAGCTAGTGAGGTGTAGCTAGTGAGGTGTGCTAGCGAGGTGTGGCTAGTGAGATGTGGCTAGTGAGGTGTGGCTAGTGAGGTGTGGCTAGTGAGGTGTGCTAGTGAGGTGTAGCTAGTGAGGTGTGCTAGTGAGCTGTGGCTAGTGAAGTGTTGCTAGTGAGGTGTGGCTAGTGAGGTGTGCTAGTGAGGTGTAGCTAGTGAGGTGTGCTAGTGATGTGTGGCTAGTGAGCTGTGGCTAGTGAGGTGTGCTAGTGAGTTGTAACTAGTGAGGTGTGCTAGTGAGGTGTGGCTAGTGAGGTGTGGCTAGTGAGGTGTGCTAGTGAGATGTGGCTAGTGAGGTGTGCTAGTGAGGTGTGCTAGTGAGGTGTGGCTAGTGAGGTGTAGCTAGTGAGGTGTAGCTAGTGAGGTGTGCTAGTGAGGTGTGGCTAGTGAGGTGTGCTAGTGAGGTGTGGCTAGTGAGGTGTGACTAGTGAGGTGTAGCTGGTGAGGTGTGGCTAGTGAGGTGTGCTAGTGAGGTGTAGCTAGTGAGGTGTGGCTAGTGAGGTGTGGCTAGTGAGGTGTAGCTAGTGAGGTGTGGCTAGTGAGGTGTGCTAGTGAGGTGTAGCTAGTGAGGTGTGGCTAGTGAGGTGTGGCTAGTGAGGTGTGCTAGTGAGGTGTAGCTAGTTAGTTGTGCTAGTT